TCAACTCAAAACTGGCTCTTTTATTGAATACAATTACTAATAAATTAATAAACATATTGTACATACATAACAATGTGGTGGTTGAGGAGATTCACCCTACTTCTGTGTAAAGCGCTTTGAGTGCCGAGAAAAGCACTATATAAATGTAATGAATTATTATAACGTATTTAACATAACGACATTTGACACTGAATTATTAACTAGTTAAATAACAAAATAATTTTGCTAAATTACTTTTTATATGTGTGTTGTAAAACTTGTGAACTTTTATTTGGTAATAAGATGAGTGGCCGCTAGAGGGAAGCATTGATTTCATTATGAGAGGTTGAGCGAAATAAAATAAATAAATAAGTGTAAATAAATAAATAAATCAATTAAGTGTGAATAAGTTACGCATACAAAACAATGCATAAACAATCATAATTTCTTAAGTTAAAATATTGCCCTTTTTTCGAGTTTGTAACAACCTTTTTAGTACATCTACTCAAAACTCTCTTTTATTAAATACAATTACTAATAAATTAATAAACACATTGTAAGAAAAATTATTATTAACAAAAAATTAGAAATACAACAGTATACAAAAAAAAATTAACAGAGTTGCATACTGAGGGGGGGGGGGGGTAATGTAAATCTACATAAAGACATTAAAACATTTACAGTTTTAAGTTTTAACTGCTTTTTGCTTCATAGAAATTCGAATATAGTCAATATAAAGCTAATTTTCTTTCTTTTTTACAGGAAAAACTACAGTTTTGAACATGGAATTTTGCCATTAAAAGAATAAAATGTATTATATAAACACGTTGTAAATACATAATGTGTAAAGCGCATTCGCTTTTTATTGAACATAAATAAAAGCAAATACATACAGTTACAATTCAACACAGAATTAAACAACAATAATATAATTATAAGCAGTAGACAGAAAGCCAGTAAAATAAATGTGTAAATAAGTTCACAATTCATAAAAATAAGGATTTCTTAAGTTAAAATATTGCACACATTTTTTCGATTTTGTAACAACATATTTAGTACATTCATCCACTCAAAAGGGGCTCTTTTATTGAAAACAAATACAAATAAATGAATCAACACGTTGTTCATACATAACGTATAAAGCGCGGCGTCTGTCTTCCGGGGGCGTGTCTAATTGATCACGTCACACACACACACACATCAGCGCGCGCGCACTCTCTCTCTGCTCTAGTCAGGATCAACTTGTTCGGGATGAGCGCCGGTCCTGGTTCGGGTCCGGGTTCGGGCTTCGGTAAAGCGCTGGTCATCATCACCGGGGCGTCGCGAGGCTTCGGCCGGGCTCTGGCTCTCTCCTTGGCGCCTCGTCTGGCCCCGGGCTCGGTTCTGGTGCTCTCGGCCCGCTCGGAGGACCTGCTCCTGGAGCTGAAGCGGGATCTGGGCCGCGGGGACCCCGGCATCACGGTCCGGTGTGTGGTCGCGGATCTCGGGTGTAAAGCGGGCGTGGAGAGACTCATCGCCGAGACCCGAGACTGCGCGACCGATCCCGGGATCCAGACTCTATTGCTCGCCAATAACGCCGGTGCGGATCAATACTCCAGAACACGCTCGAGCACAAGCTTCCATAACTCAACACAAGAAATTATGCTGAGATTAATCATAATGAGGAGATGAAAAGTCTCAATTATGGCATACTAAGTCATATTAATGATACAAATTAAAATAATGAGAAAAAGTAAATTGTGACATAGAAAGTAATTATTCGATTTTTTTCTTTCTCATAATTATGTTTTAGTGTGTTGTTATTTTGACTTAAAACATATGTGTGTGTGGATTTTTCATCTGATAATTTAATTTTTTATCTCACTTCATCTCATAATTGTGACTTAGTATGTCATAATTTAGTTGGGGTTTTTTTTACACAAAAAGGTTTTTCATGACAGAAAGTCATAATTTCACATTTTATCTCGTAATTTTAACTTTTCTCATTATGATTTAGTATGTCATAATTTTAACTTTTCTCATTATGACATGGCATAATTTTTATCATTATCTCATAATTTAAATTTTTTGTCATATTTTGACTTTTTATCTCATAAATCTTTTCATGTCATTGTGATTTATTATGTCATAATTTCAAAAGATTTTTACATAGCCTAAGTCCATTATGACAAAAAGTCAGAATGTCAATATAATTCAAATTTTATTTATTTTATGTCAACTTTTTCTCAATTATGATTTACTAACTTTTCTCAATTATGACTTGTCATAATTTTGACTTTCGTAATTAAAACTTTTTTGTCATATTTTTATATCATAATTTCATTTATCTAAATTTTAATCTTTATTCTCATAATTATTTCTTTTTATCTCGTAAATGGTACTTTTTCATAAATTTGACTTAGTTTGTCAATTTAAAATTTTAATCACAATTTCAATTTATATCTCATAATTTTATACTTATTTGCTCATATTTTATAAAAAAAATTCTCATAAGGAATTTTTTATCCCATAATTTAACTTTTTATCCCATAATTTCGACTTTTTGGTCAATTTTGACTTTTTGTCCAAATTTTGTCTTAATCTCATAATTTAGATTTTTTTTATTTAAAATGTTTAATATCATAATCTTGTCTGTGTGTCCTGATCCTGCTGTGTGTGTGTGCGCAGCTTCTCTCGGGGACGTGTCTCGGCGCTGTCGGGACTTCACGGATGTGTGTGAGGTGGACTCGTACCTGTCGCTGAACGTGAGCTCGGCGCTGTGTGTGACGGCGGGGGTCCTGCGCTCGGTGCCGGGCCGGTCGGGTCTGACCCGGGTCGTGCTGAACGTCAGTTCTCTGTGTGCGCTGAGGCCCTTCCCCTCCTGGGTCCTGTACTGCAGCGGGAAGGCGGCCCGAGACATGATGTTCCGCGTGCTGGCCGAGGAGGAGCCGGACCTCAGGGTCCTCAACTACGCCCCAGGTACACACACTTCCCTTCACACACTTCCCTTCACACACACTTCCCTTCACACACACTTCCCTTCACACACACTTCCCTTCACACACACTTCCCTTCACACACACTTCCCTTCACACACACTTCCCTTCACACACACTTCCCTTCACACACACTTCCCTTCACACACACGTTCCCTTCACACACGTTCCCTTCACACACGTTCCCTTCACACACGTCAGTGGACACACTTAAAGCTGCAGTGTGTAAGTTTCAGCGCATCTAGTGGTGAGGTGGTGAACTGCACCCCACAGAAGTTACGGTGGCCGACAGGAAGTGATGTCGTCATCTGAGACAGCAGAGAGTAGCTAGTTAACAATGACGTTTCTTTACAAAGATACATTAAGAAATGATGTTTACTTGATTATTCAGTAAAACGGTGTTATCATGAATATTATTGTTGCTTGTTCATCATTGTGTCAGTGTTTTACTCGCTGACTTTAGCAGCTTCTTATCATGAAGAGCAACATAGTGACGAAACGCGTTTGTCCGCTCAGGGCCACCGTAGAAACATGTCGGTGTTTCAACGCAGATAGAAAGTCATAATAACTTTTTCTCAATTATGACTACTTGGCATAATTTTGCCATAATCTCATAATTGAAGCCTTTTGTCATACTTGGACAATATTATCAACCCAGCCCTAGTGGAAAGTGTCAGATTTCTGTATTTTTGCACATCTTAAAAACTCGGCGACAGAGTTAGACATGATCTTTACTCACTATGAAGTGGAAAACCATATTTGTGATGGCTGAAAAACTGTATAAATGAGATTTTCTGGCGATTCTGTTCTCCAGAGCGAAGAAGATCAATCATAATGATGAGATGAAAAGCCTACACTCGGAATTATGACTTACTAAGTTATATTTATGGCAAAAATGTAGTCAATTATGACATAGAAAGTGAAAGTAATATAATTCTTATAATTTAGTGTGTTTTAATTTTGACTTAAAACATATATACAGGCAAACCAAACATTAATCAGACACCAGATATAATGTTATGTTTCTACTAGTGTGTGCAGGACTCTATAGTTCATTTCTGTGAGTGAGGAGAGCAAAATAAAGTAAACTATAAACTATAGCGAATAAACTGATAATGTGAGAAATGTTGAAGGTGCCCAATACATTTTGGTGTGTGTGTGTGTGTCATAATCTCATAATTTCTAATTTCTTTTCATCTCATAATTATGATTTATTATGTCATAATTGCATTTTTTTAACACAAAAAGTCCATTTATGACAGAAAGTCATCATATTTAATTATGAGTTATTAAAAAAAAATATTTGTGCTTTGATGCTTTTGATATGAAACAAGACACGGATTGCCTGAAAAACTCGGCGACAGAGTTAATCATGATGTTTACTCGCTATGAAGTGGAAACCCATATTTGTGATGTGTTGTGGCGAGTGTGTGATGTGTATCGGTGCGCCGGAGGAGGAGTGTGTCAGTGTAGCGCGACCGTGACGAACGCTCTGGTCTCTGGGTTTGTTTAAAGTCCTCAAGCGTTTGATCACGATCACACATGCATCAGGCGTCACTCAGTGAGAACAATCATGATGAGATGGAAAATCTCAATTATGACATCATATCTATGACAAACATTTAAATAATAAAGTCAACATAAAAAGTCAATAATGACATAGAAAGATCTCATAATCTTATAACCATGATTTAGTGTTTTTTTATATATTTTATTTTAAATTTTTTACATAGTGTACAAATTTAAGAATACAAGGAAAACCAGACAATACAACCCAAAAAAAATAGTGTGTTGTAATTTTGACTTAAAACATATGTGTGTAGATTTTTCATATCATAATTTAAATTATCTCATAAATGTAACTTCATCATCAGTATGATTTAGTATGTCATAATTGTAACTTTTTCTCAAGTATGACTTGGCATTTTCTCATAATTTAAGCTTTTTTTGTCATATTTTGACAAAATAAATGTATATTTTCATCTCATTATGATTTGTCATCATTTGGCAATTTTCACATAAAAAGTCCATTATGACAAAAAAAGTCAGAATTTCAAAATTCAAATTTATCTCATAATTTCACTTTTTTCATCTCGTAATTTTTTTCTCATAGTTACGATTTAGTATGCCATAATTTATTTTTTTAAAATGAGTCCATGATGACAGAAAGTTATTTAGAATGTTATCTCATAATTTTAACTTTTTCTCAATTATGACTTGGCATTTTCTCATAATTTAAGCTTTTTTTGTCATATTTTGACAAAATAAATGTATATTTTCATCTCATTATGATTTGTCATCATTTTGCAATTCTCACATAAAAAGTCCATTATGACAAAAAAAGTCAGAATTTCAAATTTATCTCATAATTTCACTTTTTTTCATCTCGTAAATTTTTTTCTCATAGTTACGATTTAGTATGCCATCATTTTTTTTTTTTAAAATGAGTCCATGATGACAGAAAGTTATTTAGAATGTTATCTCATAATTGTAACTTTTTCTCAAGTATGACTTGGCATTTTCTCATAATTTAAGCTTTTTTTGTCATATTTTGACAAAATAAATGTATATTTTCATCTCATTATGATTTGTCATCATTTTGCAATTTTCACATAAAAAGTCCATTATGACAAAAAAAGTCAGAATTTCAAAATTCAAATTTATCTCATAATTTCACTTTTTTCATCTCGTAATTTTTTTCTCATAGTTACGATTTAGTATGCCATAATTTATTTTTTTAAAATGAGTCCATGATGACAGAAAGTTATTTAGAATGTTATCTCATAATTTTAACTTTTTCTCAATTATGACTTGGCATTTTCTCATAATTTAAGCTTTTTTTGTCATATTTTGACAAAATAAATGTATATTTTCATCTCATTATGATTTGTCATCATTTTGCAATTCTCACATAAAAAGTCCATTATGACAAAAAAAGTCAGAATTTCAAATTTATCTCATAATTTCACTTTTTTTCATCTCGTAAATTTTTTTCTCATAGTTACGATTTAGTATGCCATCATTTTTTTTTTTTAAAATGAGTCCATGATGACAGAAAGTTATTTAGAATGTTATCTCATAATTGTAACTTTTTCTCAAGTATGACTTGGCATTTTCTCATAATTTAAGCTTTTTTTGTCATATTTTGACAAAATAAATGTATATTTTCATCTCATTATGATTTGTCATCATTTTGCAATTTTCACATAAAAAGTCCATTATGACAAAAAAAGTCAGAATTTCAAAATTCAAATTTATCTCATAATTTCACTTTTTTCATCTCGTAATTTTTTTCTTATAGTTACGATTTAGTATGCCATAATTTATTTTTTAAAAAATGAGTCCATAATGACAGAAAGTTATTTAGAATGTTATCTCATAATTTTAACTTTTTCTCAATTATGATTTAGTAACTTTTCTAACTGTGCCTGATTCCTGCGGTGGCGTTCCCGCAGGGCCCCTGGACACGGACATGCAGCTCCAGGCGAGGAGCAGCTCTGCTGACGACGCTCTCAGGAACACGTTTAGCGTCATGCATGCTAGCGGCCAGCTCCTGACCTGTGATCAGTCCGTCAGCAAGCTCGTGACGGTCCTGCTGGAGGACACGTACCCCTCGGGAGCTCACCTCGACTACTACGACCTCTAGCGTTCACTCTCCTGATCACCTACTCTCACACACTGGTCTTTGTGCTGGTCTTCTCTCCTCTATTGTGTCGTATATCGAGTGAAACGCTTCTGGAACGAGAACACATGTGGGCGGGGCTTGATTGTGTCTGGGGGGAGCTGATTGGATGGTTGTGGTTTGCTATTGGCTGATCTCATGTGAGTGACAGGTTATAGCCCCGCCCACATCATCAGAGATGCTGCAAGTTATTCTGATTCAAGATTATTAACACAATAATGATGTGCACACATAAATCATTTCGAATAAATATGTCCATAAAAACTATAATTGTCCATTTTGATTTCACTTAATGAGTGCGTCAAGTGCAGACGTTCTGTAATAAACTAATCTCCTGTACTGTATAGCTAATTAATGAAAACTCACTGTCAGAGAGAAGTGAACTTTAGTCAGTATTGAAACGGTTTGGAATATTTCAAGTGCCTCGATGTTAAAGCAGATTAACTTCCTCAGATTATGACCTGAAGTTCTGGACCAAAAGAAAACTCTTGTTTGTGATTGTTTTGCCAAGTGTTTCTTCAGTATGTGCTCAAACTCCTAAAAAAAATATATATTTTACTGATGTTTTATTCCATTTATATAATGGTGAATATTTGGTTATGGTTATATTTTTATGCAGGATTCCTCACTTTATCTTGAATTTCCAGCTCTATTTTTCAAATACTAAAAATATTTTATATATATATTATTTGTAGTTTTTAAGACTGTTTTTCAATAATCAAAATTGTGATTTTGCGTATATGTGTTGTATGTATTCAGTATAATGATTATGACTAATATAATATTGTGAAGTGTTTCTCTGGCGTCTCCTGATTAAAAGCCTGTTGGTTCCTGCAGTGTGTGTGTGTGTGTGTGTGTCGTGTGTGTGTTGATCGTGTCCAGCGTCTCTTTCTCTTTGTAAACACTTTTGATGAAACACCTGATGTAAACACGGATGTTTTCCCAAATCTGTGACTAAAGAGCGTTAATTTTACAGACACAGAACTCTTCCGGTCTTTCCACCACAGTTTTGTCCCTAATAAACTAATTTGTACAGTTAGTGTACTTGTTTCTGAAGGTCTGTAGAAAAATCTAGAGAAAATCATTTAAAATTAAAAAAATTATACATGTAACTGTACATTACTGTGGTAAGTAAAAAAAAATATATAGAAACTAAATTTTCTTTTTTTAATAATAATTTTTCAGTGTATAAATTGGGTGTTTATAAAAGATAGATGTATTTTAAATCTTTTTTAGACAATTTAAAAGACAACACAAAAACTACCCAAACACTGGGTTGTTACGTCTGACCCAGGATCTGTGTTACACAAAAACTACCCAAACACTGGGTTGTTACGTCTGACCCAGGATCTCGGTAACACAAAACTACCCAAACACTGGGTTGTTACGTCTGACCCAGGATCTGTGTTACACAAAAACTACCCAAACACTGGGTTGTTACGTCTGACCCAGGATCTGGGTAATACAAAACTACCCAAACACTGGGTTGTTACGTCTGACCCAGGATCTCGGTAACACAAAACTACCCAAACACTGGATTGTTACGTCTGACCCAGGATCTCTGTTACACAAAAACTACCCAAACACTGGATTGTTACGTCTGACCCAGGATCTGTGTTACACAAAAACTACCCAAACACTGGGTTGTTACGTCTGACCCAGGATCTGGGTAATACAAAACTACCCAAACACTGGGTTGTTACGTCTGACCCAGGATCTGGGTTACACAAAACCTACCCGAACACTGGGTTGTTACGTCTGACCCAAGATCTCTGTAACACAAAACTACCCAAACACTGGGTTGTTACGTCTGACCCAGGATCTCTGTAACACAAAACTACCCAAACACTGGGTTGTTACGTCTGACCCAGGATCTCTGTAACACAAAACTACCCAAACACTGGGTTGTTACGTCTGACCCAGGATCTCTGTAACACAAAACTACCCAAACACTGGGTTGTTACGTCTGACCCAGGATCTGGGTAATACAAAACTACCCAAACACTGGGTTGTTACGTCTGACCCAGGATCTGGGTAATACAAAACTACCCAAACACTGGGTTGTTACGTCTGACCCAGGATCTGTGTTACACAAAAACTACCCAAATACTGGATTGTTACGTCTGACCCAGGATCTGTGTTACACAAAAACTCCCCAAACACTGGGTTGTTACGTCTGACCCAGGATCTGGGTAATACAAAACTACCCAAACACTGGGTTGTTACGTCTGACCCAGGATCTGGGTTACACAAAAACTACCCAAACACTGGGTTGTTACGTCTGACCCAGGATCTGGGTAATACAAAACTACCCAAACACTGGGTTGTTACGTCTGACCCAGGATCTGGGTAATACAAAACTACCCAAACACTGGGTTGTTGTAACACAATCTGTGTTACACAAAAACTCCCCAAACACTGGGTTGTTACGTCTGACCCAGGATCTGGGTAATACAAAACTACCCAAACACTGGGTTGTTACGTCTGACCCAGGATCTGGGTTACACAAAAACTACCCAAACACTGGGTTGTTACGTCTGACCCAGGATCTGGGTAATACAAAACTACCCAAACACTGGGTTGTTACGTCTGACCCAGGATCTGGGTAATACAAAACTACCCAAACACTGGGTTGTTACGTCTGACCCAAGATCTCTGTAACACAAAACTACCCAAACACTGGGTTGTTACGTCTGACCCAAGATCTCTGTAACACAAAACTACCCAAACACTGGGTTGTTACGTCTGACCCAGGATCTGGGTAACACAAAACTACCCAAACACTGGGTTGTTACGTCTGACCCAAGATCTCTGTAACACAAAACTACCCAAACACTGGGTTGTTACGTCTGACCCAAGATTTCTGTAACACAAAACTACCCAAACACTGGGTTGTTACATCTGACCCAGGATCTGGGTTACACAAAACCACCCGAACACTGGGTTGTTACGTCTGACCCAAGATCTCTGTAACACAAAACTACCCAAACACTGGGTTGTTACGTCTGACCCAAGATCTCTGTAAC